AAGCAATGTTACGTGACCAAGATTCAGGTGTTAAGTCTTGCTCCCCCTTTCTTCGAAGATGATAGTCACCTTGAGTGCGACACTTTGTTCTACCACCACTTTTTGTTAGTGCGGTTTTTCTGGCATCCTGTCTTTGACACCATTCTTTCCATCAGTTTCTTGCCATTCATCTGCCCTGAACATCTTTTCCTTCATTCTTTCTATCCAACGACCCGAGTCCCGTCTCACCTCACTTCCTCTATTGACGCCCTGTTCTCTCATGTCTATTCATTAATGCGTCCATTCGTTGTTGCGCCTTTCAGTGCTTTATCAGTCCGTGTCCACTGGTGCAGTCGTGCCGCTATTAGTCTTTCCACGTCAGCCCTCCATGTGTTCGCTAGTGAGACATTCGCCACCAAAGTGTATGCTTTCGCGCCAACCTGCATTCCGGTAGCTGACACGCCTTTCTCCACGCTTGTCCATGCCCCATTTAATGCTAGGCTGTGTATCCCCATTTGCCTATTCCATTGCCTTCCCGGGCCTATTAGTGTCCACTTGAATGACTGTTAATGTGTCCGTTTACTTGCCTTTCTTGTGCTACATCACACGGGGAACCACGGCTCCTGTTCCTTTCGGTCTGGTACTTGTCACTCTATTCTACGGTCAAAGTTATCTTTCATGTATTATTCTTGATCATGTTAATCATTTAGAGTACATTTTATACCCTTTTAGTTACCTCTACTACCCTAAATAGATTGTTTTAACACCCTAATTTTCACCAGAGCAGTTAAAAAATTAATTTTTAAGGTTAAATTTCTAGTCCTACGAAGTATGTCAATAATAAAGTTAATTTTCATTGATTTGTAAATTAATTATCATACTCCGTATAATAATTAGAAATATTTTTTAACCATATATTTGCCATTTTAGGAAAAGGGACAGCATTTTTCCACCGTCTTATAAATTTGCAACAGTACATAACCAATATAGAATAAAAACTCACTTTGACAACTAATGGAAAATAGAGGAACCTTTTCCTCAATTTCCGACACAGGTGGAGTAATCAAGGTAAGGTTAATACTATATTCTCCCTAGTGTGGAAAGAAACAGGTTGACATCTAACACTTCTACACGGAACAGAAGACGAATTCCGAATGGCATCAATATCACCACTGTCAACATCCTTAACAAAGAGGAGGGTACCAATGCTCCCACTGTCATAGTTCTGGTGCGACCTCTAAAAGATCCATTCACGTTGCTATTTTCACAGAGAGAGAGAGAGAGAGAGAGAGAGAGAGGAGAGGCCGGAAAATATTTTTGGGTGAAATTTGTTCATGTAATGGGAACTTAGCCACACAGTTGAAAAATGAAATGAAATGAGGTTTCTGTGATTCCTTTCTGTCCAGTGTCTTTAGTTTTCAAATCTGCTACCCCTCGCGGACTATTACCGTGCGATGAAAGAAATTGGTTTGACTGTATTACGATGTGGCGACAAGGAAGGCTTCCAATCGCGGTACAATGTGTCAGATTGTCAGAGGTGTCTGCGTCATATTATATAATTAAATCGTAGGCATCTGAAGCCACGAAATCCAGTGGGACGACCTGTCTTTCACAGCGAAACCGGACGACAGCCAGTTCGTCTGACTTCCGGACCACATGAGATACTGGTCACGTGGTTGACCCCGGGAGTGGCAAGTACTCAGAATAGGCTTTGGACCGACATGAACCTTTTGGGTGCAAATTGCTCAAATGGAAATAAAGGACGGCCCACGAATTTTGATCACGTTTTTAAATGATTGGGTACAGTAGGTTATCTTCAGGTTCTACCACTTAATGTGAATAGTGATGGACTGTATCCTGATTGTCACCCATGTTCATTTCTCAACACATCTACACAAGAACCTCCTGGATACTCAAGAAAATACAGTACCCAAGAGGTCACATTACATTTGATGAAAGAACAAATGAAAAACCAAATTGGTTAGTTCACCGCCTTGGTAGTAAAAAATATGACGAAGTAGCTATTGATTTCTACCCATTTCTCAGGAAATCACCACACTCGTGTAATGAGTTTGCATCATTTTTTAAATTGGTTCATGGAAAATAGTCAAAATAATGAAGAAATGCACCATTTTAATTCATCAATATTCATTTCTGATCCTCATGTGAAACAAAAAGGAACAAAGATAATCTTTTAGCCAGACCTTTTTCTGGACTGATTTTGATACTACACTTTCTTTGTTAATGGAAGGTATTTTAATGTAACTACCGTGTAGATTGAGTTATCTATGAATAGATAATTCTTTTCATTCCCGTGATAAAAATATATTGCATCAACATTGCAATACTTAAAAGGTTACGTTCAAAATATGTTATTACTACAATGTGAACGAATTGTTAAGTTGCTTTAATGGAAGGTACTAGATGAGGGTCAGTTTATAGAAACTCTACGCAAAGCCGTAAGTCAGACAACATTATCCACCAGTAAAAACCTGGCGTTTAAGAGAGGTATGGAGCTACTGCTTTGTAGTTAGCGACTGTAGATTAGATTTTGAAGGTCTGGCAACAACCTTTGTTACATTAATACTGATCAGATCACATGCAAAGGTACTAACCCTCTGTATCGGCGTCTTGTTAAAGAAGGTTCTGAAAACAATTTCCAAATAATCAGTCCAAGAGTTTTTTGAATGCTTTAGCAGAAGCCGGGAAATGTGACCTGATTTTGCTGTCGCCGTTGATAGAAGAGACGACGGAAAACCAATATCCAACATTTTTACGATCAAGTAGTCGCACAGCGATTAATTTCCGGTATCACTGATTATTCGTGAAAAGCAAAATCTTCTGCTGTTTGCTGCGTTATCTATGCCATACGATGAAAGGCAGCCAATCGGGAAATAGGTCGATGAAAGGATACGCGAATCGCGCCACAGCTACAAAAAGTAGAGATATTAATCCCTCGGTACACGTTCTTTGGTTGACACGAACCAATGTGATCGTCTTTTTTTGGCACACGTGTGAAGCTTCCCCTTCGCTCCCTGTCTGTTTGTCTGTCTCTCCTTCCCCCTCTCCGTCTCAATCTTCTTCTCCTTCGCACATACTTCCCCTATATATAAATCTCTCTCTGTGTTATTCTCGTTTGCCCTACTTCCGTCTATCTCTTGCCTTTTCTGTGTTACTCCCTGCCCACTTCCAACTCCCTCTTACTCGTCTGTCTTCCTCTCTCTCCCTCCCTCTCATATGTAAATGCTGCAAATTAGAGTTTCAAGCGTTGCTCACGCATAACTTCTAGAATCTGTTGGGATAATATCAAGCAGTAGCGCACAGGTCAAATCTTGAGTCAATGCTCAAGAACCTATAGGGAAGTGAGACTATCCTCATATCGTCACATCTTGGACAGCACGTTATGGTATACGTTATGGTATCGGATTTTTAATATTGAATAAAAGATGTAATAAACTTCGATTCAGAGACAAACAAAATGTATCAGTACAAAAGCTTACGAATTCCGTTCGGATACGTTACCATTTTAGGTGGAACTGAGATAGATCCTCCATCCACGATGATTCTGATGGCCACTACTGATAATCCTAACAACAACAAAATAGTATGCCGACTGCATTCACGAGAAGAAGATGATGACTATAAAACAAAAAAACACTCGCGGATAACCCCCCATCAGCAACTGCCAACCAAGGCCGATAGACACTATAAAGGCACCCCCCACCTGCATCAGGTTCCGCCACTGCCCATTTATTAAAATTTGATCCTAGTATATCCGTCACTTGTTCAAAAGACTAATTGTTTTCACACAATTTAAACTTTCCTGTTAGAAAAAATATGTAAAATGATCATATGGTATGTGCTACACGTCCAATTTAAAGACCTCAGAAAATACCCCTCCTCGGTCAGCTATTTTGTAACTCGAGTATCTCACAAACTAAACATTTGAGATGAACCTGATAAGAGTGACTAACGAAATTTGAAGTATAAAGATAATTTGTCCGACAAATCTCCCTTTAAGTCTCCTCAAAACTCGATTCAACTGTACTTTATATGAATCTACACTGAAATAATTAGCAAAGAAGTGTCAGATGGCTGTGAACGTCCAAGACATGACATTCAGCTCTTGCTAAGCTTTACATTCCTATGTCTGAGGGAAAATTGGTGCACGAAAATATGCAAAATTCTTACGCTACGCGTTCTGGGACTCCTATCCCATTTTGATGCCCTGTCTCATAGTGGAACTTCCTGTAAAGGTCATTTAGTTTTGTTAGTTTCCAGAGATATCTTTCAGCTTTTGTTTTATGCTTAAGATAGATGCTAACTGGAAAGAAGGCAACGGGGTTCACCCATACAAAGTATATGTTAGATCCAGCAGATCCAGCAGATCCAGATCAAGTATCAAAATAGCTGTAGAATCGGCCGACTCGACCATCGTGCCCCCCTTCGCCCTGCGGACACCCTTCGAAGAGGAAGATCCTGATGTGACATGCGCCGACACGAGTAAGTCCTCGCGTAATTCGTTCAAAGATGATTACCCAGGGCACTTTTGAGTTAATCGAAGGGACATTACCCCATGGGGCTCCATATCACAATAAACAAAAAATTTACATACAGTCAATGGCCTTAATTTAATTGCAACCCCAAGGATACAGTCAATACAGCCATGGATGATAATAACCGACGACGGACAGAAGGCGTCCACGTTGCCACCCATTCCCGTCCGCACCCTCCGGAGGGGTAAGCGTGCAAACATGTGGCCGAGTGGGGAGAAGTAATCCGAGTAGGCGGTTCTTTACTACTCTCCAGTCTCTGGTTCTCACTCCACGACAAACTAATAATTGGCAGAGCGATGTTATTGCCCGTTTCCATCGTTCCACGTTTAGGCCTTAAGGGGTGCTCCTCTAGATGTACTTCGCTGTGTACCGAACCCAGACGGAGATTTATAAATGGACTAACGAGAGTGGATAGAGGTGGAAGTGTCTGATCTAGGGAAGAAGAAGGGACTGAAGGGTACAAAAATGGAAAATAACGTAGCGAAGGTGAGAAAGGGGGCATGGTCTCCAGAGGAAGATGCCCTCCTCCAGAGATGCGTCCTCCAGTATGGTGAAGGGCAATGGCATCTAGCTCCAGAGAGGGCAGGTACGACTTCTTCATACATAAATTATGTAGGTTGGATGAGTCTTGATGTTCAATTCGTGTCGCCCTTCCTGGATATGAAGCGAAAATAGGGCTTCATAGTCGCATAAAAGTTTCAACAGACAGATGAGGAGCCGAGTTTGTTTCCGTAGTTACGAACGAGTTCCTTCCGTCGTCCTCTGATAAATCTTCAGGTTTGAGACGCTGTCGTAAGAGTTGCCGTCTGAGGTGGCTGAACTATCTGAAGCCGAGCATCAAACGTGGGGAATTTCAGGAAGACGAAGTCGATCTTATCATCCGGCTCCACAAGCTCTTGGGGAACAGGTTAGTTATTAGAGAAGACCTTCCCCAAGAATGAACTCCCGCTCAACAACGAGGCCATGATTCAGACGTCAAACGAAGCGTGTTTAATGTTTCAGGTGGTCGCTAATAGCAGGTAGAATTCCAGGCAGAACGGCGAACGACATCAAGAACTGCTGGAACTCCTGCTGGAGCAAGAAGGTGGGAGCTCAAGCGAAGGTGGCCAGGAAGATCAACAAAAGAAACACCGTCGGCTTGGCTGTGAAGTACAATTCCTGCATATTGGGACAAGCTAGGCAGACGCCTCGTCTAGCTCGCTTCACAGAGGCTATCGGTGGTTGTCGCCACGAGATTTTCAGGCCTCGGCCTCGAACCTTGTCCGAAGGCCAAACCTGCCTTCCGGACATCATCACGTGCAGTGAATTTCTCCCCGGTGGACAGTGCTTTTCCTCTACAGATGAGAGATCTTACAACGAACAAGATCTCGTGGCATGGAGGTGGCTTCTACTGGAAGACGACGAAAAAGATCGGGAACAGCGACAACAGGAGGAACGGGAAAAAAGAGATGTCATCCCCTTTTCAGTCGAAGAAGACCTGCTCCATTGGCCGCCTCAGACAGATGAAGAGGTAGAACGAGGATGGTGGCCGCTGGGGTGGGAGGATATTCTGTTGGATGCCGACCTAACTTCTGGGAGCGGCTTGGGTTGACGCCGTTCCATGGTAGCAACCTTTCAACAGTTCCCCATGAAAATAGCCCCGGCGTGGGTAATTTCCCTGGTATTGAGAGAGAAAAATTGCACTGTAATATATTTATTAATAAAAAATATGTATTGATTTTAAAATTAACGTTATCTCAAAGTATCTCCTCACGTTTCTAAAATTTATTATTTCTATAATTTATCTCACTTTACTAACAAAAAGCTGAAATTATGATTTTGAGATCTTACACCCAAAAAAGTTCAACAATTAATTTTTACTTTCGCCCCCAAATGAGTAACCATAATTGGCAGCCTTATTTATGGCATCTACATGAGATACTTAAAATTTCATGTAAGCGTTAATTTATATTTACGTAGTTCTATATGAAAAAGAATAATAATATATTATTATGAAAATGATTTTTCTACATTAATTAAAGCCAAATTTCAATCAGATGGGATGAACCTAATATCTTCCACTAGCTGCAAATATTATAGACTTTTTACGCACCAATTTTTTTTTTAAAGTCCTACCATTGATATTTAACATATAATAGATGTGGAGAAGCAGCTTTCTCTATCAAAAATTTGGCTTGGATGTTTGTTATAGAATTTAATTCTCATGTTCAAGCTCAAAAAGTAGATCTAATTATGACTATTGTAGAGATTTTCAAATGAAAGTTGAGTTTTCTAATTTAATAGATATTTAAAACTTGAGGAATGTCTAGTTTGAATTTTAGAAGTGGAAAGATTTTTGACAAAAATGAAGAGAAATTTGCTATTTATAAACTTAAAGGTGGAACCTTTGTATTTTGGGATCAATTTTAATCCATCCATACAAGATCAATCAAAGATCAAGTTTTAAATTTAGACAAAATAAAAAAATATTGAAATCTAAATTTCTTCCTCTTGATTGTGAATAGATTTTATATTAAAAATATCCAAATTATAAGCAAGGAAATAAAATTGTGGTAGAATATGCTGAAATTTTTTGTAGATTATCTTTTAAAGATGATATTTCTGAATCTAAATCTTAGATGTTATCTAGATTTAAAAGTTCACTTAAATAGAATATTGGGAAATGGTTTGCTTTAGAATCATTTTAAAACTTAAATGATGTTATTATAGTTTCTTAAGTTGTTGAATTATTATCAAAGAAATAGAGAGCTAGATTAGAATTTTTTTTGTCAATATGTCAAATTTTCAGCCTAACAAATCATGGCAAAGGCCCATTTCATATGTTCTAATTACAAGAAGAGGAATGAAAGCTACAAGGCCAAAATCAAATGCATCTATCTCATCTAACTAAGTTATGTACAGAAAACTCCTTATGTGCTTAACTTTGTTCTCAAATGTTATAGATGTAGTCAAAAGGCACAAATTTAACGTGTCCAAAAAGTAGTGTATTGAGTTATAGAAACAATTGATGATAATAAGGATCCAGAAGTCAAAGATCAAGAAGAAGTTCATGAATTTTTTTTGATGGTGATGAACATAAAGTTTATTTTTGTTCTCTAGTGATTAGTAGGCTAATGTACACACCGAAGAAGGAAGAACATCTACTTATCATGCATATAGAATTGATTGGATTGTAAAATATTCTAAAACAAAAGATATAGAGACATGTTTGGTAAAATTTTATACTAGTAAAGTTTATCTGGATGAAACTCGATGCGATGTTGCATACATGAATGCATGTCATCTTATTTGGGAGGACCATAACAATTTGATTTGAATGAGACTAATCAGTGTAGGGAAAATCATCATCTTTTATAAGAATAGTCAAAATTATTTACACCTAAAAAAGAAATTGATTTCTATAATGCTCTTAAAAAGAGAAAACAAGCGTTGATGATTGACAAGAACGAGATATTTTCAAAATTGACTAAAATATCATAATTATTTTTAATTGTCAAAAAACTAGATAACTAGAATCTTCAAATTTTAGACTTGAGGCTGCACATAAAGTATTGAAAAGTTTTGCTGTCACACAAGATTTACCAATAACTATCTTCCATTAATAGATATATGACATCATATTGACCTAATTTGAAGAAGAAGTTTACCAAATTTACCTCATTGGAAGATGAATCTAGAAGAACTATTAAAAGAGTGACTAATTCCTAAGAGTATGATCTCCATTTCTGTCCTTACATTGTTAGTTACAAAAAAAGAATGAAGATGGCATATGTGTGTAGGACTATAATGAAATTATAGTCAAATGAAAATTTCTCATTATGGGATTAAATGATCTGCTTGATATATTATGTGGTTGACAAATTTTTTTCCAAATTAGATCTTAAAAGTGTCAATCATCAAATTTAATTTTTTTCAAGTGATAAATGAGAAACAACTTCTAAGAATAAATAAAGACTATGAATGGCTGGTAATGCCGTTTAGTTTATCAAAGACACCAAGTATTTTTATGAGGATGATGAATTAAGTATTGAAGTCAGTTGTTAGAAAAAACTTTGAAGTATATTTTGATAATATTTGATGATACTTTGAGATATAACACAAGTAAAAAAATATCGAGTTTATAATTTGAAATCTGTGTTAAGTGTTTTATAGAGATGAGTTATTTATCAATTTAAAGAAGTATAATTTTATGAGTTCAAGTTTTCTTTTTCAAAGTTATATCATGAGTGATTTGAAATAGTATTATGCATCAATTATGAGAGTAGGAGCTGTGTTATTCAAGGAAGGTTGTCCAATTATTTTCTAGAGTGAAAAGTTGATTGAAGTCAAAAAGAAATGGAAAATCTATGAATTTGAGTTTTATGCTCCGGTGAGATCATTACATACCTAGGAACATCACATAATTCAACAATAATTTATTTTATTCACTAATCGTCAAGCTTTGAAGCCTACCAATAGTCAAATTGATATTAGTAGAATGCATGTATTATGGATCTCCTCATTCAAAAGTTTACCATTATCATTCAAAATAAATCACGCAAAATAATTTGAGTTGCTAAAGCATTTAGCAGCAAATTAGTACTACTACTTAATATGCATGCTAAAATTACTCACTTGGATATCTAAGAGAATTATAGACTGCAAATGAAGGCTTTGCCCAAATTTGGAATGATCGCAAGTAGAATAAAGCAATAAATGGATTTCATATTCAAGAAAATTATCCTTTCCATAGGGAATTAATGATGCATTATGTGAACTTCATTAGATAAAAAATTAATTCAAGAATTACATGAAGGAGGGTTCGGAGGACATTTGGGGTATAAAAAACTTTAAAAATGATACAAGAATGGTATACTAACAATAATTTAAGAATTATGTTCAACATTTTGTACAAAGATGCCTAATTATTCAAATTAATAATGGAGAATTCTGAATGTACGTCTATATACTTGACTATCAATATCAAACACATCATAGGTTGACATTTGTATGGATTTCATTTTAGGATTACTATGTACTCAAAGATGAGCAGACTTTGTTTTTCTCATTGTAGATTAGTTTTAAAAGTGACACATTTTATTATGTGCAAAAGGCAAATGATGTTATACTAATAACAATATTTTTTTGCAAGGAGATCATTTGTATGGAGTCCCAAACCCTATAACTTCAGATTTGGATTTAAATTTTTCCTCTCATTTATAGTGTACTCTTTGGAAAATAGCTAATTCATGTTTAAAAATTCAGCTCTACTACTCATCCACAAATTGATGGTCAAATAGAAGTGGTCCACTTAAAAATTGAATTCACTATATTTCAAGAGAAAAAACCAAAATAGTAAAATTTGACTCTTGATCAAACTTAATTTACCCACAACTTTATTGCAAACTGCTCCACAAAGTAGTCTCCATTTTTTTATTATTTATCCTATTCCTCCAAATTTTCTTTTAGATTTGATATATTTTATCACAATTACCTAGAACAAGTACTGAAAATTAAGAGGAGAGAGCTGATCGAAAAAAGAACAAAGAAACTTTTTGATGTCAGGGATCTAGTTATGGTCTATTTAAGAAAAAAAAAGAAGCCGTCAATAAATTATAGCAAGCTCAGTTCAAAAAAGAATGGATCATTTAAAGTCTTTGAAAAAATTATCACAATACTTATATCTTTGACATACTAAAGACAGATATGTTCTATGTTTGATATTATGGATTCATGTGACTATTATCCAAAGAAAATAGAAGATTCGAGCATGTGTTCTTTTGAAGCAAGAGTGATTTGTGCAATCTAATTTCAGGTCAATTCAAGTAGTCTAAAGGTTCAGGATGCATGAAGACAAAATTCAGTTTGAGATTGCCTAATATAACATTTGGACAGAAAATCTCAATTCCCACATTCATCTTTATCTTCTTCATCTTTTAAATTCCTTCTAATCTATTAAGAGCATTTTGACAAAGCCCTCCTTTTACTAAGGATCATTCTCAATAGAACCTTCCTTTCCTTTTCTATGGAGGTTGTGAATCTCTACTAGTGGATTTTAGCATCCTTGTGGATTTAGGGACCCTTGTAGACACAATGAATCTTTTGTGGAGTCAAGAGTGCAATCTTTTCGTTCTATGCACTCAAGCAAAGAGTTTTTAACAGAATCACATTTCTCGTAGACTAAAGGTTATAATTTTACTTCCAAAATGCTCAACAAAAGCTGAATATAATAAAATCATCAATTCTGTAAATTTCTACTATGCCATCAGATACGAATAATGTAAAACGATCATCACTGCAAAACCCCAGAATATGTCCTCCATTGGTTATTTTATGACTCACGAATCTCACAAACTAAAAAATTGAGATGAACATAATTTAAGTGACTTACAAAGTCTGAAGTATAAAGGTGATTTTTCTGAGAAATCTCCCTTTAGTGCTACCCAAAATCGAATTAAGCTGTACTTCATATGAATCTACACAGGGTACCGACAGGTGTAATTCGTGCAAGATGATGACCCAGTGAACTGTCCACTTTTGTCTGAATCGAATATGCATGATACTGTGCGGCTCCCAATTACAATGAAAATTTTGACATACAGTAAATGACCTTAATTTGACTGCAACGCCGGTCTCCGTCAAAGCCGAGAAGGAAAACCCACCAACCTCCCACAAGAACCCATACCCGTCATGGATGTTGTCGGTCCGCCATAGTGGCAGGTCGTCGATGGTGACAGTTCATCGTCCATTGGAACATAACCCAAGGATGATAATAACCGACGACGGACAGAAGGCGTCCACGTTGCCACCCCATTCCCGTCCGCATCCTCCCGAGCTGTAGGCGTGCAAGCATGTGGTCGAGGGGGGGAGAAGTAATCCCTGTTGGCTGTCCTTTCACTGCCCTCGAGTCCCTGTTTCTCATTCCACGACAAACTAAAAATTGGATGGGTGATGTCATTAACCGTGGCCATCCTTCGGCGGTTTGGCCTTTTGGCGTACTCCTGTAGAGGCATTTCGCTGCGTACCAAACCTAGGTGGAGATCTATAATTGGACTAATGAAAGGAGGTAGTGGTGAGAGTGGCTGATCTGGGTAAGAAGGAACTGAAGGTTCCAGAATGGAAAGTCAGGTGGTGGGCGTGAGAAAGGGCGCATGGGCTCCCAAGGAAGATATTCTCCTCCAGAGATGCATCCTTCAATACGGTGAAGGGCAGTGGCATCTAATTCAAGAGAGGGCAGGTACGCCTTCATCTTATTCAATCGTGTAAGCGGTAAGAGTCTTTATGGACTGCTGTGTTGTTCAGCTCGTGTAGCTGAAGAGATTAAATCGGCTTTATACTCGCTTAAAGGTAGAAAGACTGATGCAGATGAGATGAGTTTGTTTCCGCAGTCATGAACGAGTTTCTCCTGCCTCCCTTCTGATAAATCCTCGGTTTGAAACGCTGCCCTAAGAGCTGCCGACTGAGGTGGCTGAACTATCTGAACCGAGCATCAAACGAGGGGCCTTTCAGGAGGACGAAGTTGACCTCATCGTTAGGCTCCACAGGCTTTTGGGCAACAGGTTTGTTATTATATAAGACCTTCCTCAAGAATGAGCTCCCGTTCAACCACGAGGCTATGACTCGCATGTCAAATTAAGCGTCCTTTACAATCCAGGAGGTCGCTAATAGCCAGTAGAATTCCGGGCAGAACGGCGAACGACGTCAAGAACTACTAGAACTCGTGCTTGTGCAAGGCGGTGGGAGCCCGAGGGAAGGGGGCCGGGAAGATCAACAAAAGAAACACCATTGACTTCGCTGTGGTCAAGTTTAAAGACAGCGACTTTCCCCAAAGGCATTACCCATTGGGATGATCTAGGCCACCGCCTCGCCCAGCCCACTTCACAGAGGCTATCGCTGGTTCCTGCCACGAGATTTTCAGGCCTCGAGCTCGCAGCTTGTCAAAGGCACCATCTCCTTGCCAGACGTCATCACATGCCGTGAGTTTTCCCCCGGCGGGCAGTGCTTTCCCCCTAAAGATGATAGGCCCGACAGTGAGGAAGATTCCATGGCGTGGACGAGGCTTCCGCTGGAAGACGATGAAAACGACGAGGGACAGCGACACCAGGAGGAGCGAGAAGAAAAAGATGTCATCCCGTTTCCAGAGGAAGAAGACGTACTCCATTGGACACCCCAGACAGATGGAGAAGTGGAACGAGGTTGGTGGCTTCTGGGTTGGGAGGACGTTCTCTGGGATACAAACCTCACGTCTGGAGTTTGCCGGAAGTTGACGCCGTTCTGAGACAGCGAGCTTTCTACGGTTCCCGATTAACGTAGCCCGCACGTACCTAATTTTTCTACTCTTTATGGGACAAAATGTAGTTTGACATATTTGTCAATGGGAATAATCTGGCCATTTTAACTCTGAAATTCTCTGTCAGTAAGTCTACATACTTTAAAAATTATCTATGGTTCTTAGAATGATTCTTTGTAGGCTAATACAAAGCTGAAAATCTGATCATAAGATCTTATCCCCATTAAACTATCAACAATTAACTTTTTTTTACACCGCTTTACTCTGCTGCATGAATAATGATGGTTTTAAACCTTATTTAATGACCAACATTTCAATACAAAAAAAAATTATTTAAACATGAATTTATGTTTGAATAATTCAGCACCCAATAAAAGATGTAGTATTATCAAAATTATTTCAGTTGGCTAGTTATTGGGAATTTTTTTCATGTTGGATGAACCCTATATCTTCCGCTAACTAAAAAAATTATTTCCTCTTCTATCACAGTAATTATTGACTCTCACACCTATTCATTTCATGTTATTTTTGCAACAAAGCCTAAAATCTTGTGCAAATGTGAAGCATTTTTAAGTGAATAGCATGGGAACTTCTTCTTAATACTACTCTTCTTCAATTCGTAAGACTATACAGATGTACATACACACTACATATATGTTATCCATGTGATAAAGAACATAATCAAGTATACAAGTCATTTAGTGTATTATCCACCTGCTTCGTTGTCACCTCATTTTGAATTGGAATTCTTTGCAACTTTTAGTTCTATTTAGATCAATAACTACATCTACATTGTGTAAAAATCATTGTTATTATAAAGATGGATTACACTTGTCAAGGACAGGTGAAAAAGAGGGAGAGAGAAAGAGATTGATAATAATTATCAATGTATACTGACGTGACTTAGTTGTTATATAGTAAATCCCACAAATTTAAAATTTAAAAACTAGAAAATCTAAATTTTTAGATATTTAAAAGTATTTCTAAACAAATATATCAATATAATTCAATAAGACTTCCAAAAATAGCGGTAATTTTCCAGGTCAATCACAAGGATATAATTTAATATTTCGTAATTATTCAGAATTTTTCTCAAAGAATACTATTTTCTATGAATTTTATACTAAGAAATAAAAAGGAAATATATTAAAAATTCAGTAAAAAGGGAAATAAAGGTGCGGACGTCAGGATGACATCAGCGCCCAACGAATGCTCATCGGGCAAAAATAGAGTTCCGCCCAGTGATTCTTACGTAAGTAATTATAGATGATTTGATTTATTAAATTAAGATCTATAAAAACCGGAAGAATCGTAATTAAATGAAGTATATCTTAGTAAATTTAAATCATACAAATTATCACTAAATGAAGTAAAAATTAAGTTGAAAGTAGGAAAACAGAGTTTCAGCATTGCGACGGTGATGCGTCGGCGATGCGTCGGCAATGCACCGGAATCTTGAGTGTTTGAGAGGATTGTCGTGTAGTGTCCATGGCTTCGAAGGCTGTTCTTGGGCAAGGATGATGTGGGCAATCTCTAGATCTCCTCGTAAAGTCTAGAGATCAATGAAATGAGTCATCGAATCATCTCTGATGGCTGTCACCCAGCTGAGCGGAAAAACGGTGACTTTGTAGCTCTCCAGCGGTTGTCACCCAATGGACATGAGCTGGATGGAGGTAGGGCGCATGTTAGGGAGCTTCATCCTCAAGTCCACGCAGCAAGAGAAGGCTTTTCATTGCATCTAGTACACTCTTAGGAGGTGGTGACTCGTCTCCCAGCAGATCATCCTCTTCCCAACGACGGCTTGTTCGTCGATCAATCGGTGATACTTTACTCGATAGATTTGTAATCTTTTTATCACGAATCGTTCAGCAATTTTAGTAACAATGCACTGCGGATTGTGTTGACGAGATTTTCGTAGATGATCCAACAATTCTAGCGGTTTAATCCTTCACTGGCGATCTACAGGAAGGTTGGGATAATTAGATAAAAATATAAGTTTTGGCTCTAAGAGGATTCGAACCTGCGCCGATTGCCTACTTACATGAGAGAGATTGACATAAATACTTTAATGCCCTTATTAAATGACGTCATCATGGTATATCTCTATTATAAAAAAGGGGTATTGTAGGTATTAAAATCATCGAACCCTTATAGGGAAAGTGTGATGCGGGTTTAGTCCCTCATCACTTGTGTGCCGAAGTTTTGGACGAATATATAGTAATATTACATTTGCAATCAAGTCCCTTTCTCCCACGTGTACGACCACTCCTTGCCCCACAGTCGGCTGGCCACCGAGGACGTGGAAGGGGAGTGGCGCACATGTGCCCCTATTGGTCCTAGCCGCTCGAGCCCCTGCTCATGACTACTCCCCAACTACACTTCCGACTTGTTTGCGGGCCCGGCTGGCTGGCGGGTATCCCCCATTTTGTTATATTTTTATTTTTATTTCTTTTTCTTTATTTATCTCAAAAGTAAGACTGTAAAAATCAAATAAATTTATTTAAAATCACATAATTATCCAAACAATTATGTTAATCAATTAAAAATAATTTTCCACATTTTAACATAAATATAAGTCTATTATATCATGAGTTAAGACTAAAACTATATTATGTACTAATTATTAACTCATGATAATGAAGACTTATCATGTACAACAAGGGTTGAAAGTTTACAACTTCAAAATGGTTGACAATAATAGAAGTGAATGTTTCAAACTATGTAAGATATCTCTGGAAGGAGAAGTTGGACAAAGCTGGTTGGGACATTTACAATTAAGTGTAAGAAATGATGACTACATTATAGTTCCAAATATTGACCTAGTATTTCTTGCAAACACAACATATACTTGGATATAATTTTATAGCTAAAAGAAAGTACTATTGTAGATTCAGATTTAGGGATAAGATTATGGTATTGTCCATGCCTCTCTATGTTTCCATTTATGACATCAATAATGCTCTCCATTTCATCATGACATTTAGGCTATGAAGGCTTATGATAAGCTACACAATGTAACATGTGTTTAAATATATTACAAAATCACACTAATAACATAGTATGCCTAGGATCGCATCTTTTGTCTTTCATTATTCCCATCATACTCCATAACATCAAAATCTACTTTGATAGCAAATGTATCAGACTTTGTAAATCCTACATCCCTATCCAAATTTTGGCTTAAAAGGTTGAAGTTAGAGGGAGAGCAGTTAATGTGATTGCCTTTTCTTGCTCTACCCACAGCTTTATACTTAGATTTTTTATGGATTTTCTATGAGATTAGATCAGTGTGATCATATGGACAGGCATTATAACAAAAGAAAATTAGCATAGAAATTTTTGAGTTGTTGAAAAAGTATATGCCTAATCAAATGGAAAAAGGAATCCTGCAATCCCTTATCTCTTGACCTAGAATATGATCCTTACCATTATTATCTGAAATTAACTAATCCAATAAAATTTAATCTTTTTCATATCTTGGGTTTATAAATTCAGTACCGTTCATGTATTAGGTTAATGGGATTTACTCTATAATTTTATATCCTTTCACAAATCAGCATACCCTCTCAGCGCCATAATATTAGCCAGCCTCTGAAGAACCATAAAATTTCAGATGTTTAAACTAGATTAGGTTTGTGCGAGATAATATGATTGTTAAAAACTCTCTTAACTGACACATATGGATGCTCTTGAATGTCCAGGTGGGCCTTGTATCATTTTTAAGTATTGAGTTCATTAACTCTCATCTTGCATCTCTAAGTCACTTTATCTTATTTCTATTACATTCTTCAGCAAATAATGATGCTGGTTTTTAGCACAGATGAGTCTAACTCCTTTTTCTTGATAACATAAGAATACTAAGACAATATCTGTCAATGTGACAATTTACGATGCTAAGATTAACAGTAAAAAAGCTAAGACTATTTTAAGTTAGATGACAATATCCTAGCATCAATAAGGGAAAGAATATATTTTAGTTTTAAATATATTATTAAGCATATATTTACAATTACATTATAGAACATATTTCAGAAAATATAATATTACCAATTTAACTATCAACATTTCCTGTTACTAACCGAAACAAAAGAGATTAATTGTCTCCTAATCATAACACGTGGATCAGCATCATTTGTCTCATTGTCACATGTAAATGTATTATACTTAAAAATATACAGAAAACATCACTTTTTTTAATGCTTCTGTGAGGTAGATTCTAATTTTTGGACATTTTATAACAAAAGTGAATGAATCAAGCCCAAATTCCACCAGTAGTTTTCCTAGTTTGGAGAAGAAAGAATAGACAGGGGGGAAACAGTTCACAAGGATAGGATTACAAAGTTAATCGAATCACCATCACCGTAGTTAAGATCCTAAATATCTTGGTATGACTTTAAATTGGTCAATTGGTAAGTAAATAACAGTACCAAATAGTGAACTAAAAATGTAGCGGTCTTCCTATAGGATCTCCTTGGTTCTGTGAATGTAAAAACAAAGTAGCATTTCTATGGAAGAGCTCAGAGAGCTTATACGTACAACAGATCTGAGTAGTTGTCATCTAACTTTGTCACATGCATCTGAAAGATGGCATCTAATCGCTCAATCAGTCAAATGTAAATTAGCCATGCTATTGACCCTGGCAAGCGGGACCATGTCCTCAAGCACCGGGCCGAGCAACTTTTGACAGATAGTATGACACATGACATAGTTGTGTTCAACTTTACTCAAGGCCAAGAAAACTTAGAAGCACATGCAAATAGGCATCTAGCTTCCAACTAGTAATTTGTGTAACTAATGGAAACGCTGCTTTTGATGCCAATTGGAATGCACGATTGTGCCATAGCTAACATAAGTGTCCATGTCCTAGTAATCAGTGAGATTTGTTTTAAATTTTCTACTAGTGAAGTAATTTACAATTCATGTGAATAAATGTAATTATTTTAGATTAGTACGTTAATATCTTTCAAATTAGTGTTGTAAAATAATCAGAATATATAACTCCTACATATGGCTTGAATATAAAATTTTTGTACACATTTTGGACCTAAAAGGGTTATCAAGAAATGAGATCTAGGCCGCTCATCTTAGGATACCTTAAGATGAGATTAAGAGAAAGATTAGAGTGTCACCCTCATAGAGAATCTGGACAATCCATTAAGAGAGTTGATTATTAATCATAATCTTCTATTAGAGGGGCTTAATTCTCAAGAGGATTAAGGCATTTTGCCTCCCTCTTGGAGGACGCTTTTTGGCTCTCTCTCTAGTAGTGGCTAGTCGAAGGAAACAAGAAGAAAATTAATGCCTGGTCAATAGTATTTTCATGCCCAAGATCATTGTGGAGAAGAAATTACCTAGAGCGCATCAAGATCATAATGAATCAAGCATCACTCAGCCTAGGACTGACATACAATGAGGTTTGTGTAAGATCTAAATTTGGGGCATCTTTTTAGTCATCTCCATTGATAGATTAACTTTTAATTCGAATTAGTTTTATCATTTATTCTGTCATTTCATTACATTAAATTCATTCTCTTCCTTTTACCACACTTTCCATATCTCTTGTTTTCACCTTTTTATATTTAATTATGCCCTTCACAATCTCAAGTATCTGTTTATATACCTAAGAAAGAAAATAGATAAAAATCTTACTTTCATTACCCATGCTCTCTAAGGATCAACCATTACTTATCTGAAATACAAAAGTGAGGTTTTATAAATATTATTTGCATCAACTTAGTTGCATCATGATGACATATTTAACCTCTAAATTTAATTCATCAAAAATCTTAGAGATAGAAGAAATTTTCTCCATATGATTCATCTTTAAGTACAAAAGTTTTGAACGAATAAAACCTTGCTCACTTCAATAAGGCTAACCACACTCTTATTAAGGAAAACTTTAGTATGAATAGAATATACATGCATATTTTTTTATCTTTTTACTATGAGAGAATTTTCCTAAAATGTAGATCACATTGAAAGAAACCAATGAGAAGAAAAGAGAAGAGGCCATAGAAGCTTGATAATATGTTGATTATCATGTGGAAAGTGTAAATCTTATGATCTACCATGTTATCATAATAAAAAATAAAAATTTCTTATTTGTTTGAATATTTCATGAAGTTTAATATTTTATAAAAAATTTCAGAGTTTTCTTCTGAGTTTTACAATCATAAGAAATTTTTTACTAATATATGAGAATTTTAAGAATTTTTAATATCTTTTTATGATTTTTAGGAAGTCGAGAGACACTTCTACAAATGATATTTCATCTGAAGATAATGCGACATAATCAAGGGTTGAGGCGCTAACAAGCGATATCACCAAATGAGGAGATCGGAAACTATCAAGAGTGTGTCTACACAATCGACAGTAGGTGGCAAATACTTACTAAGCGTGTAAAGGATCTCAACATTAAGGAAGATCCTATGGCTACAACAAAATTTCTAAATCCAACACATCATATCAACTTAAGAGGAAACCAACTCTCACCCTATTTTATTGCAGCCAAAAGGACAAAAAGACCCTCACACACTCACAGCCATAGATCAGATGAGCTCAGATGAACCAGCTCACGAGAAGGCAAATATTAGTCCTACATGTGTAATCTCATCCCTCGTGTAAACCCTTACTTATTTAAGCCACTATTTAGGACTGAAAAACCTAACTTTGAATGTTTTGACATTTAGTCAGCTCAAATAAAACAACATTGAGGTTCCACATTGATTTGGATGTGTTTTAGGTTGATTCAAGTATTGATATGTGATAAGTTTTCATTATCATGAGTTAATAATTAATAAATAATATATTTTAGCCTTAACTCATGATAAATAGACTTATGTTTGTGTTAAATTATAAAAAATGGTTTTCAGTTGATTAATGTGATTTTTTAGCTAATTATGTGATTTTATGCGAATTTATATGATTTTTATAATCCTATTTTTGAGATAAATGAAGAAGAAGAAAGTAAAATTAATAAAATAGAAAAAGGGAGGGACCCACTCAGTCAGGCCTACAAATAGGTTGGAAGTGTAGTCGGAGAAGAGCTGCGAGTGAGGGCTCGAGTGTGATTTATTATACAACGACTAAGTCACGTCAATATGCAACTTAGATCGTTGGAGAAATATACTCAAAGAGGAAATCACGTAGCCTTGGTGAAATATAGAGGCCCAAGTCTAATGCATTCTGCGCATAAACAATCATCTAAGTATTCATAGGTTAAAAATTGATAGAGATACACCTTCAATCTTATATTACGATTCTTTCGTGAGTGTTTTCTCTCTCAATCATCTCCCACATCATTGAATTTCTGTTTCTCCCTTTTTTAATGATAAATATCTTTCTTATTACCATCACCCCTTCTTCTTGGTGTTCATCTCATCTCAATCTATCAACTAAATAGAAGAATAACTATCTATCACCTAATTCTCATTCCTTGTAGATCTACTTGAACTTACCATAGTACTTACTTATTTGAGTATTTTAATTAGGTAAATTAGGTATTCTAAATGTTTTTGATCAACTGATTTTGGGGAATTTCAATGACCCTCGAGTTTGTTTTATCAAAGCTCAATCATAGTATTTACTCAAAAAATTATTGAAAAAGACTCTAACATTCACCGAACACTTTTGTCATTCAAAGTGAACTTCATCATTTGCCAACTACCTTCCATAGAGAAATCATATTCAAGACTATTGCCATCACCATTACTTCACATGAACCTCAAGGTCATTATGTACCTCTGAAGAAGACCCACAATCATATCATTCTTTAAGCATTGTGGGTTAAATCTGATATTAATGCTTCATTATTGTAAGTGGGAGCTTGTAGATCTGACTCTTGAAAATGACTTCACCTTTTGATGTTAAACTATAATTAGCTTCTTTCTCCATACAAGCTTTCAACTTACATATAGGTTTGTTTGGACACACCAAATACGAGAGGTATATATTATGGCACTCTCTCTCCTGTTGATTTGATATAAGCTGAAGTCACCCTATGTTTCAACACCCAATAGTTGCTTGCGATCATTGCATTAAAATTGACATCTGAAAATTCATGTTAATCTTATTAAATTTATATAAAATTGAGTTGTTTTAATTCATTTGAACTATCAATATATCTTCTCTATTTTTTAAATATCTATCCATCAGTATTTGTAATAAAAATTTGAATCCCTACCTAGGTCTTTCCATTGTATGCATTCTTACATTGGAACAAAGACTTAAAAAGTCCAAAACTTTCATGTTCTTGAATACAATGTGATGTGTGACAAGGAGGCCAAAAGAGATCTCCTTAAAGAACTACATGTTGGTCTTGAGAGTCGACTTAGATAATAACTTTGAGGGCTTAATATTCAGGTGATCCTACAATTTTAGGAGAATTAGGATCTCTAGTTACCTATAAGGATATCTAATTCAAAGAATCAGACAAGGCTTCTCAATCAAGGTTTGAACCACCAATCTGTCACATGAAGGTGGCTATCTTATGAATCTCACAAATTCTAAAAGCAAGGATTTAAAAATAATGACTAACTTCATGAGAAATTGAAAATCGACACACCTTTACAATGAAGGTTTTTGATCTCTTGAAGATTCTTGTTCATTTAAATTCCATGAGCCTTGTTAAGGATTTTTTCAACTTAAAAGATGAGTGTTAATGGTCGGAAGAAGGATGAGAATGAAGGAGGAGAGTCCAGACCTAAATGGATTGAGTCAAGAGTAGATGGTTCAAATTGAGGGGTTCGAACCAAGGAGTGACTGGTGCAGTTTGAAAGGAATGGGTTGTTTGGGCAGGAGAGAGAGAAAAAAGGTTTTGTTGAGACAGGCTACTAAAAGTTGGATGATGGTGATAGTGGGAGAGATAAAGGAAGAGGGTTCATGATGGGCAGACAGCTAGAAGGGGAAATGGTGATGCAATAGCAGATGGTTAGGAGGTGGAATGGTGGTGATGGGGCAGACGGCAAGGAGGCAAAATAGCAGAGATGGGACAGCCGGCAAGGAAGTAGAATGACAACTACAAGGCGGAGAGCAAGGAGGTAGAATGGTAGCAAGGGTGTGGCAGAAGTGTGGACAAGCAGATGACGACAAGGTGGAAGAATGATGAAGTGGGAGAAGGGAAAGAAAGAGAGTTAAAGGTTCCCTACTTGATGGCGAGTGGGACCCGTCTCCATCAGCTCAGGAGACACCGGCAGTCCGAGTTCAGCCCAATTGACACGCGAAGACGAAGGAGCCTAGTTTTTGCTACACGGCCTAGCCCTTCGAGACAACGACATTCCACCTCTGCAACGACAACGAGCTCAAGCTCACCCTTATCTTTCTTTGTATTTTCACGTTGACTTGTTGGGCCTCGTGTTTGTGTGTTAGCGGGCCCAATTCTATGTGTGTGTGTTGTTGTTTGTGTCTCCCTTTCTTTAGGGTTTTATTGGGTCTCTCTTTTGAGGCCCAATTAAAACCCTAAGCGGGGGGGACCTATGTTTCTTTTCATTTGGGCCTCTTTTGGGGCTTATTTGGGTCTTCATTTGAGGCCTACTTAAGCACCGTACGAGGGCCCTCCTCTTTCTCCTTTTAGGGGAGCTTATTGGGTCTCTCTTTTAGAGGCCCAATAAGCCCCTTTGTAACCTTTTTGTGGCTTATGGGCTTGAGGGCCTCAAGTGGGCCCACCTCCCCTTAGCCCACTTGTGGGCCCTATATAAGTGGAGGTAGGACCCCCCCTCAACCAGAAGCGCTGAATTTTGTGAGAGATTATCGTTTGTGAGTTACCTTCTTCGTGACCTAGGATAGGGAGGGAAGAAGGGAGAGGAAGGCTATCAATACCCTTTGAAGACTTCTTTCATCGTGACGCTGCTGCCTGAGAAGTCCCGCCGCCGCCTGAGACCAACTGCCGCCGCCGGACATCTTCATTGCCACCCATGAGATCGCCGCCATCACTGGACGAAACGGTCGCAATTGCCGCTGCAACCGCCGCTCTACTAGAACCCCATCACGCCATCGTGACGAAAGCGGCTTGCTTCGCCTCCCTACGAGCCGTCGCCGAGCACTCCACCGGAGTCTCTTGACTCCTAGTTCGACTGCCACCTCTTCCTTTAGAACTCCACCATAAACTCGCCGGAGCCACCATCCGCCGCTCCGCTCAGTCGCTGGCCGTTCGCTGACGAACGCCTACCTGCCTCTGACGTCGGGAGAGACCCTGCAGCCATGCCGATGAGTCAGATCCAATCCAAGCTCCTCACAGGCCCCCGCCGGAGTTTCCCAATGATCCGCCACCGCCGCGCCGTTTCCGGCGCTGCCTAGACCAGGAGGGCTCAACTCTCCCTAATATCGTCGGCTGAGATCGTCTCCTTCCTCTACTCCGCTTCCCAACGCCGCCAGAGAAGGCTGATCCTTCCAACGACGGTTGGGCTTTCGCCCAACCGCCAACGCTTGGCATTCCTGTCGAAGCGCCGACCGTGCCACGCCTTACGACGACGACTACTGCGACTCTCGACCAGAACCGACCATCAATGTTGAGCATCACTCTTCACTGAACATCTCTACTTACGTCGAGTCTCCGCTCCATCACGACCCGCCAAGCTACGCAGCCCTGAAGGTTAGCTCCGTACCCCTTCTTACTTAAGTTTAATTATCTTTTGACGGGTTTTCTCAGCTCATTTCCACCACCATCAGAAGAATGTAAACAGGATAGGACAGGTTATAGGATCATGACTTTTGACGTTGCGTCAGACTCGTCACTATTTGTGAGCTGCAGCCCTAGGCTACTTCACGACGACTGTTTCGCCGTTTGTCCAGACGTAGACCGAGAGGGTCTCACACTTACCATCGTCGATTGTTTCCCCCAGTTGTCCTGGGTTGATAGTGCATATTTGTACGCCTGCCTGTACTTAGGTTAGATGGTTAGACCTAGAGTCTAAGGTCCATACATTCTTATCGGATCGGTCCGACTGTCCCATCTTGAGTCTTGAGTTTCATTGATCAGGTACAAGGGTTCTCGCCCCATCCTGCATCACTAATCCAAGAGAACAAGAAGAAGAAGATATCCTTAGTCCAAGAGGTGAGCAAGAGAGAAGAGGAACCCTTAATCCAAGAGGTGAGCAAGAGAAAAGAGAAACCCCTAATCCAAGAGGTGAGAGTGATAACAAGAATCATCTTGTTTCCAAATTCAACTTCAACTTCTTCAAGTATTCATGAGTTTTAATATTTACATAAAATAGGAGAACTTAGTTAAATATTCCCCCTCCCAAAGGATGTTAATTGGTGTCTCTTAGAGGGGGAGGCACCTTCCTTAGAGGAGAAGGGTGCATGGGTGATGTGGCTTCTTCTCCTTCCTCTTCATCTTCCTCATGGGTCCACCTCAAAGGTTGAATCCTCATGTTGACTCTATCACAATGTGTCAAATTTTAACCTACTACTTGTAGTGTCTTAGAACTATAGGGTAAAGTCAAACTCTAAGAGGGGGAGTGAGGTGACTTAATCATTGTATAATAAATCATGTAAATTTAAAATTATAAAACTAAAAAAAATTATCTTTTAAATTTTTAGAAATAGTTTAAAAAAATAAATTAATTTTAATTAGATAAAAATTTCAAAAAATAGTGAGAAATTACTAAATCGATCAAAGGGATGTA